GTTCCAGGCTCGTGATGTGCAGGGTAGCCCATCAACTGCCTTGCTGTATCTCCCCTGAGGACTTTGCAGGACCTGCTTTGCACTGGGGCTAGCTAACAATCACCTGGCAAAGTGGTGATTCCCTGGGAATGAATGCCTGCAAGCCCTGTAAAAAAGGTTGCCTGGGCCAGAAGTGACTTCTAATAAGCTGCTCAGCAAGAGATACCGCAGTTCCAAACCAACGCAGGGAAAAATCGTGTGGTTCAGGATGCAGCTCTTAAAGGAGGTGAGCTGGTACTGCTTAAAATAAGAAAGTCAGAGTAGAGTACAGTGCTCCATTTTGAAAAAAAAGGATATACACAAAAAAAGCCTACCATTTTTAGTATATTCAATTTCTTACAGAAATTATTGAAGGCTCATAAGGCCCAGCTGCTGCTACCAATTAGATGAGGATTACAGTAAGGAGGGCAAGTTACAGAAGAAAACCCCCAAAAGTTTTTGGTATCTGCATGATAGCCAAGGTTTTTTTTTCACAGTAAGAATGGCCAAAGGATCTTGGATTCTCTTCTTAGGACCCTCCCAAGCTCAGAACCTGTCAGGTGCGTGACCACTTTTGTGGGAATTTGTAATCTCTTCAAATACCAAGAACAGCAAATTACAGAGAAGCACACTGTCCCAGAACAGAATTCCCACATCGGGAATTAACAACTAAAAACACAGCCAGTAAATTTTCACATAAGGAGGGAATTGCAGAATTACAGGGCTGGAAGGACTGACTATTAAGAGGTCACCTAACTCTGTCCCTGTGACATCAGCTCTGTGCCCTCTAACAGATATTTATTTTACCCGTTAAAGACCTCCAGTGCTGCAGACACCAGCCTGTCCAAGCAAGCTGTTCTGTTCTCATGATTCACTCTTTTTCCCTTTAGAAAGTTTTCCCTAATGATTAACCTGCATCTCTTTCACTATAATTTAAATCTACTTTTTGTCCTACCCACCACAGACAAAACATTTGTTCCTTTCACCTTTGCAACAGCCTTTTAGATGTACAAAGATTTATCATGTCACTTCTCATTACATTCCCCAGACTTAAATCCTACTTCTTCCAATCTGTCCTCCTAGGTTACATTGTGAGACCTCTGATGATTCTCGATGCTCCCGTTTGGAGGCTCGCACTTTAGTCCGTGTCTATCTTGAATTGCCTGGCACAGAAATAGTACACAGCATGTTCATGTGCATGGTGTTCAGGAGGATTTCATGTGCTTTTTTTGTATGTCTCAGCATTTGTAAGAGTGGAGGCTACAACATGAAACCAAAGCACCACTGAAGCACCTCAAATCCTCACCTTTAACCATAACTCTCATCCCTTGTATGCAACGGTTACTGCTAAAAATCACTACATCTAAATTGCAACATGCTGGAGGCAATTTAATTGGGGATGTCCTTCATAGTATACGTTGCCTTATTTTCTGATGCTCACATGTACTTGGACAGTTGCAGCTAATTTGTTTTACATAAAAGTATTTTGCATACAAACCAGCAGCTGAATGCTTGCCCCCAAAAGAAACTGAGGAGCAGCATGGAGAGGTCTGAAAATTTGCATTCTCCTGCATCAGCTGGAACAGTTAGCAGGAATTGTTGTCCACACTGGGGGAAAACAAAAAGAGATGAATCCCTAAGCAATAGCAGAGGCATTCAACATGTGTTCAAAATACAAGGCAGAAGGCATCAACCACCCTGCATCCTCATGGATGCAAGTGGTTACTCATTGCATAAGCATTTGAATAACTGTAATATTTATAAAACGATGCTATTTGATGCTTTCCACCACTCCTGAACACAGATACACACACTAATCTGGAGTGACGGTGTGTGCACAGGTGTGAGCTGAGTTCCAAATAAATTGCTAGTGGCGTTTTATTAAAACATAGTGGTGTTTTATTAAAACAAAACAAATACAATGCTAATTCACTTGAAAAACCTCCCTTTTGGCTCATAAAGAAAAGGTAAAAGCTTCCCTAGTCTGGCAGGGAAATAAAAAAACAGCCCATCAGATTGATGATTTAGAAAGATTGATCATTTAGAAAAATAGTTTCTACTCCTTCAGGCTAAGAAAATGCACTTTCTGATAGGAACTAATACTGAAAGTTTCCCTGGGGCTGCGTGAAAATCTGCTGAGTGTTCAGTGCAGACAGAGTGTTTGGGAGCATGTTAGGAATAAGAGAGGCCCTGGGTTTGTGCAAACACACTGTAGATGATTTCACTGCTCGCAGGTTTTCCCAGCAGCAAGATGTTGTAAGATTGCAGTTGGGTTTGCTGTTGCACCTCAGAACTGTGAGCATCCAAGAAGCTAATGAGAAACACATCACTTTCACTTCACTACAGTATAAAGTTACAAGTAGAGCTAACCCAAAACAAAGGCTACTTAAGGGAAGAAAACTCTGTCCCAAAACTGTACAGGATGCTAAGGGCCAGAAAGAGCAGCCCAGGTGAGTTTGACTTAATTATTACTTTAAAAACAACAACATATGGATGTGTAAGGAGATGCAAGAGCATCTGAAGCAGTAAGACAACTGCTTTTTAATGAGGCCCAGTATATATATGCAAGCAGACTACCATATCCAGATGAAGAAGTAATGCTAGACTGATGCCATGCTATGCAATATATTAAACAAAAAATCAGAAGTACAGCATTTTCTTTAACTCAGCCAGTCCTCAAGAAGGACTAAAGAAACTGATTTAAATATATCTTGGTGAAAAGTAATAGAAAGAAAGACTTGTGAGGTCATCATTGAGACATGCATGAAATTATTGGTTCTTGACCTAAGCCAGGCTATACAAATTCTGCACAAGAGCTGCTTGTGCAGGGTTCCCCCTGGGACTGGTATATTCCGCATAGCATGCATTAAGGTCTAGGAGGGTAGTTTACTATTTTGAGTTTGGACCACGGAAGAGGCTGAGCTTTCTTTTGTTTGCTCATTTTTAAAGCAATAACTTTTTACTCCTTTAACTAAGCTGTATAAAGCAGCTCCCCTGTCTTGATGATTGCCTAGAAATAACCAACAGCCCTGATTCTCAAGCAAGTCTGGAAGTTTTCTTCAAACTCTTACTTACCCATGGTTAGGGTCCCTTTAGCAAAAGGCTCTGGGGTCCTGGCTGAAAACCTTATTGCTTTAATAGTACTATTAGATTTATCCTTTATCAAGGCATAAAAAAATGACTCTACCTACGTACTATCCAAAATCACGACTATTTAGAGAAGCATTAATAAAAGGGGAAAGTAAATCAATGAAGTCACTTTATTGATCCTGAGAATGTGAAGCTACTATTAATAAAACATGTTTGTGTTTTTTTATGGGTAGGTCAAAGTCCTGGCAGGGTGTGTTTGTCATTCTAATTTATGTGCGGTTTCATCAACAAAGTATTTGTTATTGCAGTATTGTATTTATTCATCTCCTGTTTTCCTCCTCCACAGCCAGAACATCTGCTAAATGTTTCTGAATCTAAGCTTGTTGGGATAGGGCCCATTACTTTTCCATATTTATGAACTGTGTGGTACACTGGCATTCATTCAGGAAAGTGTGCTTCCCCAGGCTCGTGCAAGAATGACATAAGCCGGGATGGGTTTATATGCAGGAGGTCTACATGTGCAGAGTTCACCGTGGGGTTTGAAATCCAGTTACATGCAGAAGTACTTAAACTCCACTGCTGAAGAGGGACATAACTATCTAGTAATATTTGAACGATACAGGAACACAAAAAGGAAAAGGAGGCATTTATGATGTCTTTAGGAGTTGTAATGAAGAGTAATGGGATAAAAATGAATGAAAAGAACTTGTATCTGTTTCTAGAAACATCCCCTGACATCAAAATGTTTTCAAGTCTGGTAAAATATTCCAAAAAAGCAAAAGCTGCAATGCTTATGTTAGTTATAACAAACTGGACAAAGCAGAACACTACACTGGTTCTTGGGGTAGAAAAATGAACAAATAATTCATTTCTAATTTCTGTTTTTCATCTGTAGTAGCCCAGCGTCTCATGCCAACACTCACACAGGCACATCTTTATACTATTTACGCACTGAAGGGAGTGTATTCTGCCCTCATTCTGTGGAGAACTTACACATGTGACTCCCATTCCCATGAACAGAAGCTATGATCATAAATCTCCCTTTTGTGCCTGGATTGAGTGGACCTGTCACTATTTGCCTTTCCGGCTGGATTACAAACAGTGCCTTTCCAAAGTCTAGGTTGTAATATTTTGAAACCTCATGAAAAAGAACGTAGCCCATCTTTCAACTGGGAAAGCCATCCATGCTCCGCAGATCTTCTGCCTGCCTAAATCCATGCCAGCCACGCAGCACAATCACAGCCTAATAGTCCTAATGAGATTACAGCTACAGATGCCCCCGTGCTGCCGTCTGGCCAAGGAACACACCAAGCACCAAATTCATCTGGAGGAAAAAAAATCCCTTCAGCTCTCATACAAGCAGGCTGCAACTTCATCAAGATTTCAGAACTGTGGTGCACAAGATCCCTTTGATTTCCAAGCAACATTTGCTTTACTTGCTGCTTAAATTCTTAATCTCAACAAAAGCAAATAAGTTAGTGTGTATAACATGCACTGTAATAATGAATTAAAAAATAAGCTGATCTTTAGATAGTACCTTATCAACTGGCTGGAGTACAAAACGTGGTATTAATGCATTAAGGCATGAACTGTGCAGCTCGGACTGTAAACTACAGCTACTGCTGTGTAGATTTCACTGAGCTTGCTGTGTGCCAGGAGATGAGAAACCTGCTACTAATACAAGTCTGCTGCTCCTACAGGACTTGATGCTGAGAAAAGAAAATGCAGTAGTAGTGCCTTCATGGATTTTGCATGAAGCCTATTTAAAAGAGCTAATACAAAAGAAAATTCCTCCCCTTAAAAATAGGAAAGCCCAGAATTTTATAGTTGATAACAGACAATAAAAAACATATTCAGCAAAAGGCGCAAGAGGCTGCTGGGTCAGTACTCACAGAGCAAGGCTGTAAAAGTGACCTTCTTCTCTCACAAGTCTACTCCTCCCCGACAGGTGCTCATAATTCATCCGCCTCTGCCCCGGCAAGTGTCTAAATCAGAGCCCCCTCACCACTCATCGTACTCTGATTCTGCACAGGTTTCTCTTTGGAGAGCTAGCACATACAACTTTCTTCTTCTCTAGGCTTGCAAGATAAAGCCAAAGTGAAAAGGAAATGGGATCTGGGATGCAAGTCTCCTTCTGTACGCCTTTCCCAGAGCATCCTGCAGGGTCTCATGGAGACGGTATGATGATGGTTCTGGCTGCCAATTCGTCATTGTTGTCATGGTAACAGAGCAGTGGTCCCTTGTGGCTTGGTAACAGAGAGGCAATGGTAGCACAGAAAACATGTATTGCCTCCATTTTTGATGATTCCTCCGACTGCGGCAACCCACCCGTTTGTTAAAAAAGGCTTTTTTTTTTTTTTTTTTTTTTTTTTTTTTTTTTTTTACAGAAAGTACATCCCCCCCAACCCAGCACACACATACATACTTTGTTTAGTCCACTTATGAAGCTCTACAACACCTGTAAATCCTGTTTTTATGGTATAGCAAACCTGGCATAATCCTGAGAGAGCCAGTCATTTCCTTTGGGAAATAGTGTGTCATGTGAAAACAGGAAAAAAGAAATCTTATTCTGGTAAACATCTGAACATCAATACACACTCACCAGTATTTGAAGAACTGTTAGGACAGAGTGATATAATTTTATCTCTTTGAGCAGGTGAATGAGCAGTTGAGACAGTAATAGGGTATTTCTCCACCAAATGTTTCTCTGCCAACATGAGAGAGAGCAAGTGTGTCCGTGAAGCCGTATCTACAGCTTCAGGGAAGCTGTTGGGCGGGCAGAGTTCCTTTGTTCCTGTCCTCTGAACTGAAAAGTCTTGACATTATTCTTTCTGAGTCTTAATATAGCTACTTTTTCTTGCTCTAAGAAAAGCTCTTGCTCTAAACATTTTTTTATTGAAACATTGACACAAATATTATTAGTAAAGTTAGATATAACAGTGGACAGCAGCAATGACCTACAGAGTTCATGGTCCAATTAGAGGAGAAGTCAGGACTGCAGAAGCAGGCATTACTTTGCTGGTCAATGAACAATCGGGCTTGCTTAGGAAAGTGAATCCTTGGATAGTAAAATAATACCACTTGTTTATAAGACAGACTGTTTATCTCATCTTCTTAATAAAATGTTGCCAACAGTTCTTTGTTGCTTTCCTTATTATTCTATCCCAATGCCCAGCGCTTCTTTTAAGGTAATAGATTTCCTCTCTCAGGATGTCGGGAACAAATACAGCTCTGTATGCACGTAGGTGGTAGGGACAAAAACAAACACAGAGAAATAAAACCTATGTTTGCTTTCTTGACTAACCTTCCAATACCCACTTTTGACTCAAATTGTTTTAGCTTTCCCTGATAGTAGCTCATCACAACTTGCTGGATAGGGACAAGCTTCCAGATGCCAAAGCCTGAGTATTAGAGGTCCCATGACTACAGGCAATTAAGTACCTTTTTTGCCCCACTACAATCTGAAGCAGCAGAGAAAGGACTAGCTCAGAACAGTGTTATCAGCCATAAGGGTTAAAAAGACTTGAATCAGATTCAAAAAACTGTGAGTGGGCTAAAAAAATCTGAGACTTTAAAAACAATAACACATACCTTTTACTTCTCTTTGCCTCTGCCTTCAGGACTCAGTTTTCCAGCTTTTCCCCAATACTACAAGAATTTGGTTTAGAAAAACAGTTACAATTCTCTTGTGTTCGTGTGATTCTAAAACATGGGACTTCAAGAACACCACCAAATGCAGCGGTGACTATGACAACACTTCTAGACTTGGCAGCACCGAAACATCTCGGCGAAGTAGGCAAGTTCGTTCAAGGCTGGTCCCAGCAAGTCTGGAGCCTTCACGTTAAAGAAGCTGGACTTTAACAGCTCCTCCTTTACAAGGCCACTTAGTGGCTTTTTCAAAAACAGTTATGAGTATACCCAGAGTTATGAGCGTCTGGTTCCCCATAGATGTGAGATTACTAATTATATGAAGGCGTATTATAAAAATCCACGTTATCACTGGTATTTTATGACCTCTTCTTCAGTAATCTTAAATGAGAATGGAATAAGATCAGTCATTCAACCACATGCTCAGTTTTATGTAGAGGAAATGCTGGTTGGTGCATATAACTAAATACGTTCTTCTGATCTCTCTCCCTCCACACACTTTTATGCTTGGCTTGGTGGAAAAGACTTGCTGCCTCTGCGTGTGATGGCGCAAAGGCATTCAAAATGAAGCTGTCCCCTGAAGGCAATCCTGAGAAGGAATAATGCTGGGTTAGCAGGGGTTATGAAGGCAGCAAGGGAATCTAGGGGAGAGGAGATGGTTGAGCTCGGCCTGTGGCCCTGAGAAGCCTTTTCCAGTTGCAGATTTATCTTCTCTCAGTCAGAGCATTAGCTAGAGACATTTAATGCAATCACGAGAGTTTCCTTGCACCATTACTTACAGAAGAGGGTATAAAAATGACGGCAGCTAATGAGCACCCATTTTTCATCAGCTGCCTTATCAGGGTAATTTCACAAACAGAAGGTTTCGGAGGCTAACGGACTGGAAATGACATTCAGACTACTGAATCTAGGCCAGTGCAGAGAGAATACATCCCTAAGCCTACACACTTCAATCTTAACCGCAAACAAACAGAGAGCTACAGCAAACGTATGTCCACAGAAGGACATAGATTTCATGAGCTGAGCTACAAGGCTAAAGTCACTGCACATTCATTCTTCTTTAGGATTAAGAGGCAACCGGAGCAAGAACATGAATGTTCCTTTGTCCATTAAATATCCAAACCGCATTCCTGGGTGTGAAGTTCCCTCACAGAACGGAATGCTTTGTCTGGAGTTCATGACTGGGGAGAGCAATAAAACCTTGAAAAAAAGCCAACTTGTTGGTGGACTAGGGTGGAAACACACCTTTAATTGAGGAGTTAGTTCAGAGAAGGAGTTCATGTGTCCAAGGCAGGATGCTGGCTGATATGAAGGGCAGAAAGTGGCCATAGATGCGTGTGTGGTCTAAGAGTAGAATACAGGGAGGGAGCATGTGTTTATATGCAAGTAGGGAGGGAGTGGATTGTTTGCAGTGGGAGGGCATGCATGTGAATCATAGATGTCAAAGCTGGAAAAGATCTTACTGGCCTTTTTGCTTCTCTTTCTTTTAGCCACTGAAGCTTTTGAAAAGTTTAATTTTCCACACATTGCAACAAAGTATCTAATATATCTACTCTCTAATCCTCAGTCCCTAATTAGATAATTCTGTCAAGAAATGTGCAGCAAGGTTGGTTCTTTTAAATATTGAAGTTCTTTTCTGCTCTTAGTACCGCTATCAACTTGTTACATTTTTGTGTGTATTCCATGTGTTCCCTACAGTCTACCAATAGCCTTATCAGATAAGAAGTGTCTATACTGCTTTCCTATTTTTAAAAGATGGGACCACATTTGCTCAGTTTTTGCTTGAAAATCTCTGGTGCACTGCTTACAAAATTAACTCACAATGAGTTTTCAAGGCACTAGAAAGTTATCAGGACCCTAAAATACATTCTTACTTATGATAAATGATTTGGATATATTTTTTTTTCCAAAAATATTTCCATACCTGATTTCCATGAAGGTCCTTACTCCTGCTTGTCTGTATTCTTATTAACTGCTATGGTCATGCCTGCTATGGATGGGTTGCTGGAAAGCTCAGCAACTCAGCTATTCTATAACTGCATTATAAATAATTCAATCAACTGTTCTTCCCCACATCTACTTCTCATTTATTAATTGACTTCATTTCTAGGTAGCATTTCCTCATCTCTCATCACCATCCAATATATATGCTTGGGGGAGGAACGTTAATTAGTTTTGCAGTCCTTCTGCCAAAACTTCCACTGACTTCAGTCAGAGATTTGCCTGATTATAGACTGCAGGAGTCGGTCCTATTTCTGTAAACCAGGAATAGGCTGAAGTGAGTGCATGCAGGTGGGTAATGGAGTCTTTGTTGTGAGGGAACCCACAGAGTCTTTAAGAGGAGCAGGAAAAGGTGAGTTTGTATGTAGGAGAAGAGCAAGGTGGAGGACATGGGGGAAACCAGACAAGATGCAAGAGATGTTACTTGAGTAAGAGCAGAGCAAAGCAAAGATTTTGTATGATTAAACTCATGTTAAACTCTTTTTTTCCCCTCCTTTTTGAGTAACAGAAGAGTAGATTTTTCTCTTTCTCTCCCTCTCTGTCATCAGACAGCTGTGCAAATATTTTAGCATGTGATTGTGGAAGCACAATACTGAAAACCTCTGAATGGTGCCAAGAGAAAAACTCAGGAGAACAAAAGGCAAAAGCCTGGGGTAGATCCAGCTGCCAGGATCTTCCAGCCCCAGGAGAACTAGACAGAGGAAAAGGGAGAGAAAAAGGAGAAGTCTGATAGCTTTAATTGCTTACATTGACAGCCTCCCAGGTCACAGAGAAACACAGACTTTTGTGGTCTTTTTGAAGGAGGATAGCAAAGGTATCAAAGCAATTAACACTGTTAAATCACTGCTTTCTTGAAGGCTGCTGGCATTATCTGCAGCACCACTTACTAGTATTGTACCAGTGTAAAATACAAAGTTCTCAGGTTGCAGATAAACTGAAAACCTGACTTAAACAGTATACAGTAAGTCCTAGTCTTTATTTGAATCTGGGAAATCTGCTACATGCTTGGTCTGAGGTTATTCTAGTCTGCCATGGAATTTGTCTTCTTCCAGCAGATTAAGGGGTCCTTCAACAGAAAAGTGATTCAGGGTGGCATACTAAAAATGCATCTCTTCACAGGTTCTCTGAGGAGTTTATGCTGCATAAGCGTGGGCAGGAGGTGATAATATAAACCTAAATATGCCACAGCCAGGAATCAAGTTGCACAGTGATTCTCTGCTAAAGACTCCTATTTTATTGCAAGGGATTTTATTAGTCCATTAAAAATAAAAAATAAAAAAAATTCACTTTCATTTGCAGTATACTCAATGCCTTGTTGATTGCTAACTCAGTGATTCCCTTATATCAAAGGATAGACCAGTTTTGGCTCTCCCTCCTATGTAAGGAGGAGCAGAAGCTCATTCTGCAACTATACCCTATCTTCCAGCAATGTCTAATGCTAAATTTTGCACAGGAACATATAGCAATCTGTCCTCCTGGTGTGAAGTT